CAGACATTTCCTCCAGCAGGAGCTTAGCAGGCAGGCAACAGCAAGGCAATCTATCTGTCTCAGTGGCTCACAGCAGGGGTCCTCTTTATCTCAGTAGCTCATCAAGGCAGGTTTTCTCGTCCAGTCTGATTTTCAGCAGTTTGGTTCTAAAAGGTTCTGACTTGAAGGTTCTGTAGATCTGGTTCCCCCTGGGCCTTGGTTCTACACCACAGTGAGGATCGAAGTGGACTCCAGCTTAACGGTCAAGGGAGAGGAGGCAAAGAAAAAGAGATTCTGTGTCCTCTGTGGTTTTGGCTGTTCTCACACAGAGGGGGGTGGTTGGTCACATCTCTATGGCTTACCATGTGACTGGCCACTTGTGTGGAAATTAATCAAAGAAAACATAAATGAATAAAAACTCTGCTCATATATGTAGATATATGTCTCTTGATCTTTATTTATATCATTCTTTATCACAGACAGGGGGAATCTCTAAAGCCAAGAAACCATGCACCAGAAGGAAAGACACTTTGAAAGGTGGAGTTTAAGAAATAACAGAAATAAAAAATTTTATGAATAGAAATCATCAAAAATTCCTGGGAATAGAAGCTGCTATCAGAAACTCCAAAGATTGATAAGATTCCAGATGGCTTCTTTTGTTGGTAATACTCAGGACTTGACCATTTCTAGGAATTCTAGAGAAAAGTGAAACATAAAATTAACAAATAAAAATGTACTGTCAAATTTTGCATTACATGTGACACCAGGCTGCATTTATTCTTTCATATCTAGTTACCATATTTGCTGAAACCTACAGCTATAGAGAATCATGTTGAATATACCTAATTCAGGGTCGTAACATTAGAACAATAAATAAATTATTGTCAAAATTTACCACATTATGTGTAAACCTAATATCTTAATTCACTTTGCAAAAGCAGACATTTTGTTTTAAACACTTTCTTCACAATTAGAAGCATGGTAATGAGAACTTGCATCTAAATTTTGGTGAAATTTAAACCGCAAAGGTCAATGGGTTGGTAAAGAATAGTTGCATAGGTTTAACAATATTTCTAAGAATAAAATGGAAAAGTGTTGGTTAAATTTGTATTCATACCCCATAATAAACAGTTACAGTTTATTTGTGAAGCAAATTTTAGACAAAACATCACATAAAACTATAAAAAAATAGCACACAATAAAAAAAAAAAAAACATTTAAATGAAAGGCATATTTAAATAAGATAGTTTTAATTGCTTTCTAAAGTAGAAATATATAGATATATACATCTATATATATATTTAAAAAAAAAGTTAGTGAATTTTTTGGCTTTTTGCTGTTCTCAGGTAATAGATACAGTGTTAGAAGTGAACTAGGGAATAAATACTTGTACCTGAAAATCTCTTCTACATGTCAACATTTTTCACTTGTGTTAGACTTAAGCCTGGAAAAGTGTGTAGAACCCAACCACATGAAAACATCATCTCTAAAATGTCTTTTGTGCTTTTGAGTTTTTAATTTAGACAAACTATAAGACTACATATATGTTGTATATCATGTATAAATATATTAACCCTTAAATCTTGTTATCTTGTGTTTTTTTCGAGTTCCACTGTGGAGGGCTTTTTTTCCTACTAACTCAGCTCCTAACACAATGTTTTAAACTTGGC